CGCGCCACAGGTGGAGTACAACACAGCTGCATCCAGTGAAAATGAGGGGTAAGAATTTGCATCTGTTAGTCTTACCATCTTTATGACTTTATGATATATTCTATCAGTGCATCAATAAAAGCAAGTGGGTCTGGGATGTAGACCTGAAGGAAATGCCTTGTGCTAAAGTTTTATTTGGGGTTATAATGAATACACATGACCAGCAGTGCCACTGAATCAGACTCAGCTGTAGCAGTCCCAATGTTTCTTTTAAAGCTTGTCACTTGAAAACCTTTTAAAATATGTCCTTAACTGCAGACATATATGTAGCTTTGAAGCTGAGCCAAGCAGCAGAGCATTATTACAACAATGACCCCAGAGGGACTTAGGAAGCCAACAAAGCTGCCGCTGTACTCCATCTGCCCCCTCCAAGGACCCTTAGCTCTTCACCGTTGACCCTTTATTCCTTAATGGCAGAGGTCAGACGGTGATTTGATTTGTTCTGAATAAGCCTATTCAGTCTTAATGGAGAGCTGTCACTGATGCTGGTTGTCCTCATCCTTTCTCCTCAAAGCACACACAGACAGGTAGGTATGAGTAGCAACTGTTAATGTGGTGACATAGCTTTCACAAAGACCAAGACAGAAATGACTACTAGAAAACAAAGTTGAAAAGAGTCGTGGAGCTGCTCAGTTCTGTTAGGAATGCCACTGTTTCATCAGCACATACACCACAGATCACACACACTTGCAGCTAGACAGTCAAGGGTGCTGATAAAGATTTTGTGTCTCCAGACAGTGCCATTTTGTTAATCATGATAGAACAAAGCAGGCGGGTTCCCTGATGGCAGCGATGACAGCCTGACAGAAGACAAAATGTGCACGGTCACACACTCGAACACGCACTCATTTGTGCACGCTATGCGGCCCGTGAACAATGACACTCCCCCAGCTGTCTAGACAGAGTGCAGGGCTGCCGCTGGCTGGCTGCTGGAGATCTCAGGGGGGATTAGAGCACACACCACTACGCTCACCTGTTCTTGGCTACTTGTTTCTTTATGTGTATTTCATGCAGCGTTGATGCGAAGTGGCAGGCACAGAGGGAGCTGGGTGTATCGTGAAGTACGGAAACAAGTTATACATAGAGTACAGCTGTGGATGGTTGTAAAGTAGTTGTAAAAAGTAGTAACATATGGCATTTTAAAGAAAGTCTGCTTTTTTTTTTGGTTTGCATTTATCTGTCATAAGACACAGTGTTGGGTCAGTCTGTCTTCCCTAGAAAGAGTTCTGGAGATGGTGTGTACATTTTAACCTATAAAAGGTTGAAATGTGAACTCTGGGGTGTATAGCACAAAAACATAACAGACATCTTTGCATAGAGATGCTGCCAAAAGCTAAAAAAAGTCCAGACAGCAGGATCCTTACAGATTCCCAGAGACTATGCAACTTTTGAAATAAGAAGTTATCCAGTCTTCTTTTAACAAATCAAACTTATGATTCATATGAAATAAAAATCAACCTGTACATTGTGATGTTTTGCTGATCTGCCTTATGAGCTTGTCTTAGCCAACGTTAGCAAACCACATTTCTACATGACTGATATTGCTGAGCTAGTTTGCTGAATTTCTGACTCTTCTCTGCTTTTGCTCTAGTTATATGTACATGACATTTTTTAGCATAGCACATTTGAACATTTCACTGGTTTTATTACAGAACCTAAAGAACTAAACACCATTACACCTCCCCAGGAAACAGTGTTGTTTCTGGTTTTAGTCTCGTTCCACTCATTCTGACCTAATGATGTTTTTATACTGTGCTTATGTCATATTGGAGTTGTAAGTGTGAGTTTCCATCTTATAAATAATGTTCATGTCACATGAACTTCCATGTTATAAATAAGACAAGGAAACTCAGATCTCTCTGAAAGCACCGCAATATCAAACTTGGCACTGACTAATAGGAAAGTCCCTGAAAGCCAAACAATAGAAGCCTCACATCAGCACATGTCACATATGTAAGCTCAGCTTCACGCCAGTTTTAGTGGCACAATGAAACCAAGACCAAGTGAGTCATACCCAGACACCGAGGGCTGGTTTATAACCCACCTTCACATATGTAGAGGAACTGACCCTTTGCTCGCACACTACAGACCGTGACATCAACTAGCAGAGCTGTGATGAAATGACGCTGGAGAGTAGGCAGAGAAATAAGGAGGATGAAGGTTATCACAAGCAATACAGGAAATCATTGACAGCGTGGGCATGTAGAATAATTCTCCCAGCCACTCCCGTACATACTATATATGAGAGGGGTGTGTGTGTATGAGATGGCTCAGATACATTCCTGCATTTAGTCACACAGACTCCAGCAGCTGAGCAGACTTGTCAGTTCTAACAGAAAGGATATTTCTTCCACTTACCACAGAGCTTTCCTGCTGCATCTGTGCTGTTATAGAGGCTTGCTAGATTTGTCCAGTTCTCATCTTATCAAGCCGTGGTTTTGCCGTGCCTGCATGTTGTAATCCAATCTGCTGAAAGGACACCCCAGGCTTGCCCCTTATGGAACCTAATCTAGAAAAGGGAAATCAATTTTCTGGGAGGAAAACAGCCAAACTTTGGGTTGATTTATTACTTAAAAACATCATTTTGCAATTGTGGTAGTACTATTTTTTTAAATGGTTTAGTAGCAGAATCTGATCAAGCCTGCAAAATAGACCATTTAATGCTCACTCAAGCTCAGATCAGTGACAGGCACATGTGTTTTTTGCCCGTGTGTGCATGAGGTTTCCATATTAAGTACAGTATATACTGTAGCTTCAGTGATTACTCATGTATCTTGAGTATTGTCTGCTCAGTTAAAAATCTTTTTGTTGCCTCTCGCAGGTTCTTACCAGCGTATCATAGAGTAGCATGCAATGGGGAGCTGTAATTATAGCTCTGAGGAGCAGACAAGGAGATGTCGACCCTCTTTAACCACAACATATATTAAGTGAGATATAGCTTTGTGTGTCAGAGGTGTTGGCAGGAAGGGAAGGCTGTAAAAATGCTTCACAGAAAGACAGACTCCCCATCCGCCAGCCATTCGTGTGCCTGTCTGCGTGTGCTCGTGTCTAGGTGTGTACAAGTGCTCAAAGAAGTGCTCGTGCAGGGGAAGGAAAGCTGAACCCTCACACAAGAAACTTGAGACATAATCTGCTCTTCTGCATGCCAGTGTATGCTTGACCTTTCACCCCAGAGAGCTGTAACACCAGTTTATTGAGGCTGCTGATAGGCAGGGTGGGTGAGGGGACCTGAAGGTTAGCCGAGGATGAAACTATCGCAGCAAAGTTGGACCATTGTAGGTTTCTCCTGTGATGTAGGATGATAGCTGATGTGGTCCTGTTGTGCCAAGTTGACATTTTTAAACCTTAACTGCTCTGAAACAGTATCATTGGTCTTGTATTCTGCTTTATTTACATAGTTCTAGGTAAGCACTGCCTTTTGTGACAAAATCACAGTTAAGAAAATAGCTTTCTTCAGTTCCCCTGCTTTCTACTGCATTTTTGTTAGCGCAAGTGTCTATATTTGTGTGCACATGTGTACTCATTCTGCCTCACCCTTGGCTGTAGTGTGAGCCACAAACAACAGGAAGAATATGTCATGTGAATGTGAATGTTTAAATAACTTCCTGCATGTTGCTCAAGGTCTCACTGTCAGCTTGTGGGTTTGCTGCCTTTCACGTGACCCTGGGTGGTACTGAACCTGCCTGAAGGCAACAGAGACTTCACATGTTCTCTGTGAGGGATTCAGGTACCAGGTTTGGAGAGCAGGAACTCAGCAGAGTCCTTTTATATAACTAATCTGTGTCAGACTTGCATATAAGACACCAAAACCTATTTGAAGTAAAAAAAAAAAATCAGTTAAGCAGTAAATGCTATTTGCAACAAAAATGTATTCAGGTTAACCAGTATTTCTATTGTCTCCTGCTTGGCATTTTAAAATGTTAATGAGCAATTGGTTTCTGTGATTGATCAGTTTCATGTGGGTGATGATGAGTGATGAAGGTAAGTGCTTCCTGAGGATCACAACACTCTGTTTTTCATAGCATCTCCAGTGAGTAGTAAGTGCTCCTTTCCACCTCAGCTGTAGTGGTCCACTGAGAGGAGAATGTTGAATTTTTAAAACATGCATTCTTAAAGTGAATGACACATGGAGATGGAGGCCACATAATCTGTTTCAGCAGCGACAGTTTCCACAGTGTCTGAGTGAGGCTGAGGCAGCTGTTGGGGGGGGTAAACCATACATGAAAGTTACTGTGCACACATAGGTTTTAAATTTTAAAGGCAGAGTGCATCTTCATAATTTAGGCTTGTGCCAGACATTGACAGCCCACCATTCCTTACACAAAAGGAACAATTTGCACTGAGTATATTATACTGCATGAATAATGCACTGTAGCATATTTTATAAATAAAATCCAAAATATAGATTTCCTCTCACTAAATCAGAGGTGTCCATACAAAACGTCCCAGTTAAAGATCTTTCGAGTCAGCAAATGTTTCTGTCTATATCACAGTAAAGAGTGTGCATACTCAAACTGAACCCAGCAAGACCCATCAATACCCAAGGGTTCTGGCTGGGTTCAGACAGAAATTTAGAAATTATATTCAGGGGCGTGTCGAGTTCAGACACGTAGGTCAAACTTTAGGCTTTAGCTGGAGCACTCAAATGTCTGCCTTGTTTAATGATGAGGGGAAAAACACCATACAAACTCAACTGCGTCAGGCTCGGGTAGGGTTCAGACATTATATACTAGATGCCTGTCAGGTTGGGTTCGGACAGAAATATGTGACCCGATCCGTGCTCTAATTACAATTACCACCATGTACTAGAAGTGGATTAGCTGTGTCAGAGACCCAGGGTGAGCAGTTTGCATTAAATGTATTTCCTCTTACTGAATAAAATTAACTTCAGCCAGGAAGCTTCCTTTTCATAAAATCCAACCTTCCTCATTCTGTTTTTATCCTGCTGAAAAAAATGCTCAGGCACCATGTTCACCACTCCCAGTGGCTTTAGCCCTCATCTGGCCTGTGCTGAGCCTGGGGAGGAAGAGGAGGCCCCGCAGGAGGGCTCGGTGCCTGGGGCTTCCCTGCCCGAAGGGCCCCCGATCACTTCTGCCTCCCTGGACACGCTGATCCAGAACCTAGTGCCCACTGCCGATTACTACCCCGAGGTAAACGGAGATGTACCACAGTAACTCTGCTGTTTTTACTGGTGTTGTGACGGTGTCTTAGCGAATGTCTCCTCCTGTCTTTTACCAGAAAGCCTATGTGTTTACCTTCTTGCTGAGTGCTCGTCTGTTCATCTCTCCTCCGGAGCTGCTGGCTAGGGTGTGTGAGCTGTGCATCAAACAGCAGCAGCTGGATCAGAGCCCACTAGATACGGTCAGCACTGCACCACACACAAATACATAAATCCTGTATGCAAACATGAGCACAAGCAGGAACGCAGGAGATAAACAGGAGCACAAGCAGGCATAGACAAGGCACGTAAACATACTTGTGTTTTGCTTGACCACAACAACCACTGCTTTTTCTGTTTTTTGCGAAATCGCTGGCTTTATAATAGTGTTTTTTTGTTTGTTTTGCTGATGCAGTCACAAATCCAGACAGTGGTAAACCTCTTTCACTTCTTCAACAACAGGCAAAAGTGCGCAAGTTTGGTCCCAAGATCCTGCAGCTGCTGACAGAATGGACAGAGACATTCCCATCTGACTTTAGGGATGAGAAGATGGTTGGACACCTGAAAGACATCATCCACAGGATAGCTCCATGTGATGAGGTAGACTAATGACATGGGCCTGCATTCACTATAGCATTAATATCAAACAGACTAGTCACCCTCACACAAGCAGAAGGCGTGGTACTTACTACAACATAATTTGCAATCAGCTGTAAGATTTGGGATTTTGAGTCACAGTATTTCTTTTGCTTTATAGTTTTTAAAGGCCATAGCTGCAGCAAGAAATGTTCTGATGAGGAATGAAATTCAGTTATCATCACTACCACTGTGGCAGGGAGCCATAAAGAGTCAGAGTGTCAATGCAGGGTGAGCAGCCACAGCTCCGTGTTACACAATCTTACATTACAGAAGAGGGGAAAAGAGAGGAAGGAAAGCTGTTAGAGGAGTGGCTCTGTTTGCAGCCTCGAAGGACAACGGAGGGAGAGAGATGGATCATGAAACTGGGGGGATGGGATACAGGGGTACAGAGAGCAGAAGAGAAAGTAGAGGAGGAGGAGGAGGGTGATGGAGTCAGAGTGGAAGATAAGAAAAATGGAGGGAGGTGAAGAGAGGACAGAAAGAGGGGAAGGGCAGGTGGTGATGAATGTGCTGCTATTTGCAGCTGGCTGTCTACAGTACGGGTGTGTGTGCATACATGTGAGAGCTGTGGCTCTGGGTCATTTGTGAAACAGACTGACTTAACGGCCTCTGTATTCACTCATCTGGAGGGAGGGAAAGACAAACGCATGTTCCCGGACACAGTGAACATGACTACTGTTGTGTGAAAACCTCAAAAGCATATTTTAATTCAGCCACAAAATGACATTGTGCTCTGACATCACTGGATAGAGTCTAAACGCATTTCTTTTATGCTAAAAATAAAGAGGTTTTTAAATCTTTGTTTTCAAGACTTTCACCAAACCAAAACCAGCCTCATTTTGATACAGTTAAGGTGGACCCATTTATATATTGAGAGAGAGCTCAGAAATTGACAGCAAGTGATCAGTTCTCAGTATGCTCCCACAGAGTGCAGAGGGCAAGAGCTGGACAACAAGTTATATTATATAAATATAAACTACTAAGTGCAGGTGTTTAGTTACTTCTCACTGCTGCAGGTACTGTGTACCTTATGTATTGGACTGTGGTACATGTACAGCACAAAGAAGGCTGGAACAAATACTGGACTGGCGATGAGTTATTTTATTTGCAGAAGTTGGTTAATGTGCATATATTGCGACAATTAAAGTATATAATAGCCTCGCCACCTGGTAACCCAGAGGTCCTTTTGATTTATGCCTCTTAGTGATCAATACAGTGTTAATAAATTATTCATTAACATTACTACAGACTGACATCTCCTCTTCTCTCTGCTCGTCTCTGCAGGCGTACTGGAAAACCTTGAACCAGGTGCTGCAGAAGCTCAGCCAGAGGCTGGCCCTGATGAGCCAGGGGGAAGAGAGCATCGTCAAAGTCTCCCTCAACGCCTCCTCCATCTCTGACAAGCTGGTGGCCTTCAAGACCAAGCCTCCGCCCATCCAGAAGGACATACTGTCCATCTGCAACGATCCATACACACTTGCACAGCAGCTCACCCACGTGGAGCTGGTGAGAAGAGGGGAAGGGAAGTGTGGGTTAGACTGGGGGAATGAGAAAGAGATGAGATGATAAGGATGGAATGGAGGAGTGGAAAGGATGTTTTAATGTGGGAGGGAGAAGAAGCTAAGGATGGTGATGCACTGGTGGAGATTGAGTCCATGTCAAGGACATACACATGTGAAATCAAACACATCAGAGGAGGAGATAGAGAGAGGTTGATAAAAAAGACTGAGAGAACAAAGAAAAGCTGGTGGGAGGTGTAATAGCAAACTCAAATTGGCAGAAACACTTGAATGCTCTGCTCTCGTAGCATTTTGAAGATCACTATAATATAACCTTGATTGTTGCTTGTCAGTTATTCCAGCGTTATATAGTTTTCACCCAGTGTAAGAGAGAGAAGAACAAAGGGAATGATGCAATGAAACATACATGAACAAAGGATCTCTGCAGTGTCCCTCACATTGGTGCTTCAAGTTTATTCATGTGTGCATTGAAATGGGTATATGTGTCAAGGGGTGGCTATGTTTGTGTGTGTGTGTGTGTGTGTGTGTGTGTGTGTGTGCCTGCCTGAGTAAGCTTGTAGCCTTGTCTGTGGTGACATCATCCCAGAAGTCAGTGATGTGCCTGGGGCTTCAAACAAAGGGGATAAAAACCACTGAGGATATATGTGACCTGACAGCTTCACACACACACGCTTGTACTTCTACCTTCGTCAGGACACTCATTGACATAATGCAGCCCCCTCACCCTAACACTTAACCAAGAGAACTAGGAGCCTAACGCTAAACTAAACCTACTTCTTACCTGAGCCCTAAAACTAAGTCTTAGTTCTTAAAAAGCCGTTTCAGGAAGTGTCCAAAAATGTCCTCACTTTGTAGCAAAAAGTACTTTTTTTTTGGTCCTCACTATGTAGCAAATATAAGAACACACACACACACACACACGCACAAACAAGGAGAGAAAAAGACAGACAGGCATGTACAATGCACACATACAGGACTTCAGGATATCTGTCGCAGGCTACAGCAACCTGCTAATTCTAATTAAAAAGAATTCACTGTGCTTCCTGCCACGATGTGTGGTATGTGTGTGTGCAACACTGTTTTGGTTTTGGATTATATCATTAATTGAGATGGGCCTAATGAGTCATTTTGATTTGCAGATGTTATGTGGCTGTTGTCTTTTAATGGAAGGTAGTACTTTCTCAAGTGTCACTTTGAGGAAATATGACTCCACTGAGTCAACGTCAGTGAGTCATTGCTTCCTCTTATTGATTACTTTCCATTACTGAAATGAAAGAATTATTAAGTATCTCTATCGGGGGGGTGTGTGTGTTTGTTTTCCAGGAACATTTGAGTCATATCGGGCCGGAGGAGTTTGTCAAAGCCTTTGTTCAGAAAGACCCGCTAGATGGAACAACACAGGTATACCTTTTATTTTGAGTGTTTCTAAATCACCACTTTTGTCTCTGTCTGGATTATTTTCAGTTGTCTCTCCTCAGGCCAAGCTGCAGCATTTTTTTCATATTCTCAGTTTTTGTTTTTTTGTTTTTTTTTATTGGTTGGGGAATCCTGAAGAGTAGCTGTCATTGTGTTCAGTTGTCCAATCAGGATTTGCTTCTTAAGAGGTCACACAGAGGTCAGCAAGTCAGAAGGCCACAAACAGCTCACCACTGTAATGGCTAAAGATCTAGCAAACCCACACAAGTGCGTCATCTGTAATCTCTATATAGCTGTTGAATGCTTTTACTCTTCTTCCGAAGTCGCTTGATCCCTACGGTTTTTATTCATATTCAGCTGCTGCCTCTTTCACTCATCTTCTTTTCAGCTGTCTGTCCCCTGTGGTCTATATAGGTGGTGAGGCTGTAGATAGGGGGCTAATTAGAATCAGAGGAACGTCCCATGGTAGCGCTTCCTATATTCACTTGTGTTTGTGTGTGTACATCATCAGCAGCCATGCTTCAGTGACCAGAAGAAGAAAACCTCCAACCTTGAGGCTTATGTCAGGTGGTTCAACAGACTGTGTTACCTGGTAGCTACTGAGATTTGCATGGTAAGTGGCAAATGCTGGTACACCAGATACTCATTTATTCTAACATTAGACTTTAGAACAATCAGCACACAACATAAACTCATTATGCCAAAGATGAAAAGCTCTTTAATCATGAAGTAGACATGAAAATGAATGGGAGGATATTTTTATACCTAGAGTATATTCTATTGTGCCTATTGAGTGGAGACTTACTGCAGGTACATAAGTCTGAATGTCCTTTAAGGCCAGTTGTTCTGTGCTTTTTATATTTACAAAAAATCCTGGAAAAAATGAAATAGTTTAGCAGCATTTTCTTCTTATTAAAAACATTAAGGCCAGCAGATACAGTTTGCTATTACAGAGCATTCATGCCCCCTAATGGTTACACTGTGTTACTGCACCCACTGTAAGTGTTCGTGTCTGTCGATGGGCATAGCTAAAATTAAGCACAAATGAAACAAAAATCCTTGTCTCATTTTTGCAGCCGGCAAAGAAAAAGCAAAGAGCTCAGGTTATAGAGTTTTTCATCGATGTTGCCAGAGAGTGCTTCAACATTGGAAACTTCAACTCCCTTATGGCCATCATTTGTGAGTCTAATTTTACCATATCTGAGATTATTATCACTGAGAATTCTCCTGCGTGACCTGATAGTAATAAATGAAGTCAATTTTTCCCTCAAAGCCGGTATGAACATGAGTCCTGTGTCACGGCTGAAGAAGACTTGGGGTAAAGCCAAGACAGCGAAGTTCTTCATTCTGGAGGTAAACACAATGTGACCATTCACTGACTGAGAAGTGCAAGACAGGTAATAACTTGAAGGTGACCGTGTAATGCTTGATGCTCTTTGCTTTGACAGCATCAGATGGATCCTACGGGAAATTTTTACAACTACAGGACTGCCCTGAGGGGGGCCGTCCATCGCTCTCAGACTGCCAACAGCAACAGAGAAAGGGTAGGGTTCGCCACCACATCGCTGGCATCTGGCTGTAATTCATTTCATCTGCCAACATTTTTATACCTCCCTGTCTTTTTTCCTTCCTCAGATTGTAATTCCCTTCTTTAGTCTGCTGATCAAAGATATTTATTTCCTGAATGAAGGCTGTGCGAACCGGCTGCCCAACGGCCACGTCAACTTTGAGGTTAGACTGCCACCTTTCTTCTGGCCCTGTTGCATTTAACCCCCCTGCCTGAAAAACATATACTTAGTGTAATTTTGTACCGTAGAAATTTGTGGAGCTGGCACGACAGGTTGGGGAGTTCATGACATGGAAACAGGTGGAGTGTCCGTTTGAGGAGGATCGAGCCATTCTACACTACCTCCACACTGCTCCAATCTTCAGCGAGGACGGTGAGAACAAATTCTAAACATGCAGCACCATGTATTTTCATATTTGTCTGTTATGTATCTAACTAACCCACCCCCTTAACCTATTACTTTCTGTTGTCATTCTCCCCCAGGACTTTATCTTGCCTCCTATGAGAGTGAGAGTCCAGAGAACCAGGTAGAGAAGGACAGATGGAAAGCACTCAGGTAGGACTTAAAACACAGGTGAAGTGAAAGACTCTGCTGAGTGTACAAAGACTCCATTGTCAACGTCTCTCTCCTCTCATCAGGTCGAACGTTCTGGCAAAGACATGAGGTGCTGACGGCAGCTAACCCTCCCACCAGCGAGGGAGCGTGTGTTTTCATTGCACTAAAATGAACTGTGAAGGAACCTAGCTGGTACTTAGGTGTTGTCCCTGGAAGAAATAACGAGAAAAAAACCCCCATGATGAACAGGATTCATCAAGAAGAGTGTAAAAAATAATTTAAAAAAAAGAACATCAAAAAATGTTTAACTAAAAATGTTAAGCTAAGGAAACTGGAACAAAATGCCTTTGCAGCTTATCAGTGATGAGGTAGAGTACGTTGGAGAGGGATACAGTTTCCCCTCCTTCCCCCATCTGATGTCTGTTTACTCCATGGACATGTTTACTACTATAGAGAGTATAGTTACAGGGAAAAACACTTTATAAGATGAAATTCCTACTGATGCTATAAATGTTTTTGTATTTGTTCCTCCTCCTATTTCACCCTCTTTCTCTCCTCCTCTGGCTTGTCTAGGTATTTAAGGTTTTGGGGACTTTTTTTTTGTTTTGGTTTACATGTTATGTACTGTAATGAAACGTACATTGATGTGAAGGGCGCTGGCTAGCCCATAGCAGCTGTCAAATTTTCTAGGTCTAATGAAGGAATGGCATCTGGGAAGACGGAAGACACGCTTTGACCATTTTTACCATTCGTCCTGTGTGTTAATTTTACATGTGTGTGTACAGAATGTCTGGTTTAGCATGAGAATGACTGCGGAAACCTGTTTATCTTCTTTTATTTATTATTTTGTCCTGTTGGGAAAGTGTTAGAATATGAACCATTTAAGACGTGTTTACTCCTTTTAAACGTATTGTGCCATTAATGCAAGAAAACTTCAGCGTAGTTTCTGTCACAGCAAGAGCCAGGCCAGATGTAGATTGTGTATAGGTGACATTTTACCCCTCATCTTTCTGCTCTTCAGGAAGTTTTCTCTTGACTGACATTCAGTTGTCTAATATATTTATGGAGATTTCTGTGCTGACAGATGTAAAGTTTTTATTGTAATTTTCATTTACTGAATATGAAGTCCAATAGCATGCTATGACAGGTGTTTTTAAAGGGGCATTAAGCGTATCCACCTTGTAGAGATTACTACTGCAACGCAAACTTTGCAGTGATGATGCACTGTTGCATTATGCAGCGGAAGGACAATGATGATTTATGTAAAGAGGGAACTTTGTGCCATATGACTCACTGGTTGTCATGACAAGTCAGACTCCTCTGACTTGAAAAGTGTTGTTTATCATTTTGTGGGACTGTCACTGAGCTTTGTTTTTGCTAGGTTTGTTGTGATACAAGAGGCTTTTTTGGGGGGGGGGGGGGGGGGGGGTGTATTATATT